GTCGCGCGGACAGACGCCAGCCCGCGTTAACTATTCGCGAGAGCAGCGACCATACACATCGGAGGGATCGATAGCGGAGATATCGTTTCCTCGACTCTTTGTACAAGCGCCTCTTCTGGAAAACTGGTCTCCGTTAGTCTGTGCGTTCGAGACTCGTCGTGGGAGACGCGATGCCTTCGATCGACGTCGCTCCAAGTGACAGCGTAATAATTTGCCGACGCGCACGGGCGCGGGCGAAGGGTTAATCTCACCTGCATCTCGGATCCAAACAAATTGCTCCGACCCCCTACCGCCTCACCCTCGCTCTCTCTCTCTCTCTCTCTCTCTCTCTCTCATCCTCTCTTTCTCCCGCCCAGCCGTTCGTTTTACCCGTCTACCTTCTGCTTCTCCCGCATTTTCAGAGATTCTTGGCGCGCACCTGTGCGCGATACTTTGTCCCCCACGTCGTTATTCACCAGTCGCTCTCCCAGTCAGCAGAGCGGCAAACGTTGCGAACCGACACGCCCCTCGCTAAAATCTCCCCGCTAAATTACGGCGGACGAGAGCGTGAATGCGAGAACCGCCGCTCGAGTCCGTCGTCGTCGTCGTTATTCGGCTCGCTCGGTCGTGTTAAAATTTCAATTAACGACTAGGCGATTCCGCAGCGGCGCCGAGCCGCTCCCGATCTCGCCGCCTCGCGAGCCTGCAGCTCGCAGAAAGTGATCCGCCGACGGGCCGAGCCGCGCCCGCGAAATTTACAAGACGTCGAGACGACGATGACGAGGCGCGCCTCGCGGGTCATCCTGGCGTGAAAGAAGGACAGCCGTGCGAATAAAAACGCGGATTAAGCGGCGAATTAATTCCCCGCCGAGCTGGCCGCTTGGCTTTTTCGGCAATTTCGGGCGAACGGGACAGTCGCGGGCCGGCAGGTGCTCACCGCTGAAGATCCTTCGAGGACCGTCGAATAAAACGCATAATCCGCGAATAGCTATTAATATCCGGCTTTCGTCGCCGGCTTTGATCGCCGATGTCAAAGCGCGCCGCTATGGCCGCTCGTTAGCAGTCACCGCTTCGACATTGGTCGTCGCCGGCATTCGACGACGCTCGTTATTTGTAGGTAGATAGAAACGTATTTGATGCTCGCGCCGGCCCGATGGATTCCCGGCCAGCGTTTGCGCCTCGGAACATCGAAGCTCGTTTACGAGAAGAAAACTGAGAGAAAACTCGAATGCGCGGAGGCGGAGGGGGGGGGCGGGGAGGGTAAGGTTCTCCGCGCGTCCACGGAACGAGATGATTGAAAAGTTACGTAATGATAATAATGACACACCTTCGTCGATAACGCGATAATTACGAGCGCCCAGCTATCTTAACGAAATTCTGAGAGCGGATGCGAAAAAGGAGGACACGCGTCGGCTGGGAACCTGCGAGTACGCGCGCACCGGAAGCAGACGTCCTCCGCAGGAGAACTGGTTTCACTCATTCCGACTAACCGGCCGATCATTCGCCTCTGATCATTTCGTTATCTCATTAACCGCCGATCGCGGCCATGTCGAGCGCAGGGCGAGGGGCGGGAGGAGGAACGGCGCGGATGTGATGCGGGAAGCGCTCTGAGCGGCGAACGAAACGCGCGCGTTGAATATGGCGACGAGAAAAATCCACGCGGTATCACCGCGCGTTAATGCACGCTCGCGCCGCCGCGCCGGTTTCAGCCGGGAGCAATTCGCTCGGCCGCTCGTTAATGCCGCTCTCGGCATTTCTTTTTTAGCCGATGATTATCATAATAATCTCGGGCCGCCGTTCGGTCCGCGGGAGTGGCCGCGGCTGCTCTGAGCGCAACGCTGCGAGCGCTAATAGCTGGCAGCGAAACGCGCTCTCCAAGTTTTCTCGAACTCGAGAGTACGCGCTAAGAGCACTCGCTTACAAAGAAAGGGAGATACATATTTATCGCGCGTCCAAAGTTCCACGAAGACTACAGGCCGCCGTTAAAATCGCTCCCTTCGTCCGCGACCCCGCCAAGAGGCTCCGACCTGAACTCGAGATCGATCTTTTCTCTCTCCTTCTCTCTCTCTCTCTTTCTCTCTTAAATACGATACGATCGAGTGATGTAATCCGCGTCGGTGATTCATTAATTTCCAACGAAGCGATTCCTTTTGATCGCGCGCGTGCGCGCTCTTGTTTCTTTCCTCGGGAGGACGGGACGTCCTTTTCGTTCAGAGGAGAAAGGAAAAGAAAGAAGACTCGTGGATCTGCCGAGTTATCGGACGAAGAGTTCCCGAGAAACTGCACTTGACCGGACAGAGAGTCCATCGCGGGTATCTCCGCAAGAGACGACGCGTCGCCGATTGTGAAACGTGCGGTAGATTATCCTGAAATAGCGTCTCTCGTTACATCAGAGGGACTGCATGGGCGAACGAGGTCGTGAACCACGTTGCGGCGACGCAAATGTCGCGGTTCATTGTACGGGATTGTAAGAATGAATGGACAGGCGGATGAATGGCGGAGGGTCAAACTGCGACGGAAGGCGCGTCCGTGCTGCAAAGAGCGCATGAAATACTACCGATTGTGCCCGATCGCGCTCTTCCTCCAGATAGACCTCTCTCCCTCTCTCTCTCTCTCTCTCTCTCTCTCTCTCTCTCTCTCTGTCTCTCAAGCTCGCCTGCGAGTCGACCTCCTCGGCCGAGATCGTCGCCGCAAGACTCAGACGGCGAGTGCGAGCGCGAGTTTGGTAATTAGCAATTAGTCGCCCGCCTCGCCTCTCGCTCTCGCGAGACTTTGAGTCATCGATCTCGATCTTGATCGACGCGTATACGTCGCAATCTGCCGATCCGTGGAGAGCGATATCGACGCGCACACACACATACGCACACACCTTCGGCGCGGTGATCCGCATTAAGATTCGCTTTACGAGCGTGACCCGGATCTTAGATCGTATTACAGGCTGCAATTCGGATGATAAATCCGTGACATCGCGGCGAATCAGATCGTATATCCCGCAGATTGATGCGGCCCGTTGACCTGCGCAGTCAACGTTGACGTACGCGCCTCGCTCATCGCCGAAGTACGCGCGCCGCGTGATTAACGGCATTCGGGCGGCGGCGTGATATTCGCGTCGATTACGGCGTTTTCATCCGTCTCGTATCTCGCGCTCGATTCTCGGCGAACATTCGTCGGAATGTGGAAACAGCGAGGGTCGTCATCGCGCCGCGCCGTGCCGCGCTAAACGTTGCGGTGTAATTAGAATCCTCCGGTTAATTTCGCGACCTCTTCCTTTTCCCGCGAGGCGAGAAGCGTCTGGTTTTATATCTCCAAGGCGAGGCATTTCCCCGTCTGTTTGCGCATTCTCAAAAGCTCCCTCTCTCTCTCTCTCTCTTTCTCTCTCTCTCTCTCTCAGCGAAGGGAATCTTTTCATCCGTAATATTCCCTCGCAATCTTGCCTCTACTTAAATTTCCCACCGAGCAAACACTCGGGAGTGCAACCCGACTCCCGGAGTCATCAAAGAACACAGGCGCGAGTATTGATTCGCACCTTGCTCGGACGCGTCCTCAAAGATCGCCGGATGTGACTGCAAAAATACTCATCCTGGACCCAACCACGAACGCTCCCACTCCCGATTTGTAAATCTCGCTTCGCTCGGCTGCTTGTTATTCACCCGACGACGACGCTCCTCTCCCCGCGCGCGCGCGGATCATTCGACCTTTGAATTTCAACGCGCGTCATATCGGCCGGGGATCGATCGGCTGCGTCTCGGAGCGCAAAATAGCCGCGCACACGACTGTCTGTCGATCCGCTCCTGCGAGCAGAGCCCGCCCAATTCCGACGCTCAGGTTATGTCGTCGTTGTCGACAACGACGATGACGACGACGACGAGGCTTTCGACGAGGCTTTCGACGAGGATCCGCGGCGGGAAAGCCGGTTAGACGGCGAGCCGTGAGATGGCGACGCACTGACCGGCGCCGGGCGTCCTACCGGCGGCAGTCTCGGGGACGACGCCGTCACCGCCACGTGGGGAGCGAATTTGAATCGGCCGCCACCGGTCCCGGCCTGCTGCTGTTTCACCGCGTCGGAGCGATCGTTCGCACCGGTGTGTCCTCTCTCGCGCGCGTAGCCAGCTAAGCTCTAAGAGGAAAATGTAAAAGACAGCGTAAATTTCACCCAGCGTGCCCGAGGGAGTCTTCCGACCGATCTCGCTTCGGCCGCGGAGGGACGCGCAGGAAGCGCAACGCCGCACGCGGCGGGAGAGTCGCCGGTGTGCCGCCAACGGAGCATCCTCAGAGCGCTATGGGCCGCGACAAGGTAACGTGATCACGTGCTACTTGTACTCGTATACTCGCGGAGCCGGGGAACACGTCAACATTCCTCGCGAATCACGGCGCGTTGTCGCGACTATCGACGCGGCAGGCAGGCAGGCAGGCAGGAAGGAAGGAAGGAAGGAAGGAAGGAAGGAAGGCAGCAAGGACTCTCCGGAGCGGCAGTCGCGAGAGTGGTAGCGGTGAACGGAGGTGATTAGAGGGAACAATCGACCGCGATATTATCGTGCATCACCGCCACGTGACGCCACGCTCCGGCTGTCATCGGCTACCGGACGAACACGTGACGCCGGCGAGGAAGAGAGGAGAGGCAGAGAGAGAGAGAGAGAGAGAGAGAGAGAGAGAGAGAGAGAGAGAGAGAGAGAGAGAGAGAGAGAGAGAGAGAGAGAGAGAGAGAGAGAGAGAGAGAGATCGAACGAGAGACCGCTCATAGTTGTCCATCGGCGTTCAACAACGAGAGCACCGTCACAGAGAGGGAAAAAGAGGACGACAGAGAGAGAGAGAGAGAGACACACAGAGGGACAGAGAGAGGGAGAGTGAGAAAGTGAGAGAAGGAGAGGGGGACGAGAACGCGAGCTTTCAGCTGCTCCTGGCGCCGACGTGAACCGCAAGTGTCGGCCGATACGCGCTCCGAGAAACGACTAGCACCGCGCCGGGCACCACGAGGCGTCGAGGCGGAGGAGGAGGAGGAGGAAGTGGTGGTGGCGGCGACGGCGGCGGCGGCGGCGGCGGAGGCGACGACAACGACAACGAGAGACGGTTACGGTGGAGGCAGGAGGCACGCGGAGGAGAACGGCAAAGCCGACGGCAGGGGAGGGAGAAAAATCAAGAAGGAAGTAGCAAGTGTCACGAAGGGACTCTTGTCAGTAAGTGGTGGACCGTGGTGCAGATTGGGCATCGCGTGTGCGACGAGAATCTTCGCGGAAGCGGGGGCGCGACGAGGCAGGGAAAGAGCACCGGGGGCGGCGGCGGCGGCGGCGGAAGCAACGGAGGCAGCAGCAAGCAGGCGCGATTGACGGCGCGCGCCTCGTCGCGCCGGCGAGACTCGCGCTCGATACGAGCACGCGCGCGCGCGCGCGCGCGCCAATTTCGAGACTCGATCGGCGCTTCCGATCGCAGCAGCCTGCCTCTCGCTCCGGAAGAGAACAGAGCTGACCTTGCGGCCCGACCTTGGAAATTGGCGCCACCGTCGAGAGCGGAGCAAGCGTGGGCGTCGCGTCGTGCTTTGGTCACGAGTGCGCGGCTCGCACGCGCGCGCGCGCGCGCGCGCACGCACCCAATTCGCCGGTCGCCGGTCGCCGCGGGCACACGCGAGTGCTCGACGTGGGCCGAGAGAGGAACGTGGGACGATCGAATCGCTCTCGTCTCGGCCGGCCGGAGAGAGGCTGCCGTGCTACCTTCTTTTTGTCCCGGCCCGGGTCCACGCGAGAGGAGGGTCGCAGCCGGTGATCGAACCACCTGTCACGCCGGTGGAATGACTCAATATGCCGCTTAGGTGAGTGAGAAAACGGGTGAGCGGTCGGGTATGCGCGTAAGCTACGTAGGACGGGACGGTTTACGCGAGGCGCCGAGGCACCGGCTGAGGGTGGTAATTGGTAGGAGGTGAATTAAAGGGTAAACGAGGGGCGACCGAGCCACAGGTAGGCCGCGCTCGCCGGCCGAGAGAAAGAGAGAGGGAGGAAGGGACGGAGGAGAGAGAGAGAGAGAGAGAGAGAGAGAGAGAGAAAGAGGCGGAAATGCGGCTTTAGTGATCTCCGGCTTCAAGCCTTTGACGCTCTGTGACTCGAGAGGACCGGCTTTTGCCGGGGTTGAAAACGTAAGAAGGTTGGTTAACGTGGTGAGGGCGTACGTGCGCGCAGTCAATGCCGGTGCGCTTGAATCGCGAAAGAAAATCAGCGGAAATTCTCTCTAACGAGCCGAGTGTCACAGGAATAATTAAATTCGATTCTGAAGCTGACGCAAGGAGAACCCTCCTTCTTTTTCTCCCCCTTTTCCCTCTTTCTCTGTTCAACGTACGCGATCGAGCGCGCGCGACTCTTCCCTGTTTCTTGATTTATCTCTCGCGGTCCCATTCATTTTCGCGCATCGTCCCTTTAGAGTGACCTCTTGGCTCGCGATCTGTCAGACGCGGTCTGTCCGAACGCGAACATCAAACGATATCGAAACGGTATTGATCTCGCGGGGAGAATTGCATCGTGAAAAGGGAGTGAAAACGACTGACATCTTTTTACGATGCCACTCTGCAGGAGGACTTTTGTCGGAAGAGACTTTTGACAGGGCAAATAAGGATTAAATCAAAACGCCACACAAAGTCACGTTCGCTTTCCTGCGGTTTTGACTTTGACCCCATCCATGACAGACACCTTTTCTCTCCAATTGCCGATCACATTGTTACATTACGCGACATTACGTTACATTCCGAATCATTGATTATCGTCGCGACGCGATTGAAATTTCACCGCTAGGTTTGTATCCGCGCTTCGTTGAGAGGACGTCGCCTCCCTCTCTCTCTGTCCCTCCTCTTCCTCCTCCTCTCTCTCTCTCTCTCTCTCTCTTTCTCTCTCTCTCTCCTATATCCTTCTCTTTCTCGTCATACATCTACATGGACGCAGCTACAAAACAGATTTCATTGCTCTTTTATTGCCCGTAATCCGCTCGCCGCGCACCTGCGCACCGCGCGTATAACGCGCGAGGAAATGTCGCGCTTCAAATCCGTCCTGATCGCGCAAGCGAGAAAGAGAAAGAAAGAGGGGGGGGAGAGAGAGAGAGAGAGAGAGAGAGAGAGAGAGAGAGAAAGGGAGAGACAAGAGCACATACACGAGACACGGAGTGATGAGCAAATCCTCTTTCACCGCGCCGCCGGGAGAACAGAGTCACAGCATAGTGGAGATCGCGCGTTACGTAGGACCCGTTACGTTACCGTAATCCTTAATTCGATGATTTATTACTCGCCCGTGAGCCGGGGGGGGGGGTAGGGGAAGGGCTCGAATTTATTCGTGTGTGCTTTCCTCCGGCGTCGGCGCGTCAATTTTTACACCGTGAAATTTGTATGTACACACATCGCCGTCCACCTCTCCTTCCCTGCCTCTCTCCCTCCCTCCCTCGCCCCGCCCCCCCTCGCCCACCTCTTCTCTTGTCGACCCATTGCTCTCGCGGAATATGTACATAACACGCGAATACATACGCCAATGTACACACGTGAAACGTGTGCACGCAAGTGTACATAGCGCACGCTGCGCTGCGCGCGAGCGCGCGCGCACGCAGTGCAGCGTGCGTTATTTAAATAACGCAGCCGTCGGGGACTAATTAAAGGGTAACTCGAGAGGCGTTTGCGCGACACACCGTGGCGGAGCACGCGACTTCAGATCGCGCTTCCGGAAATGGAGGAATCCGAGACTGCGCTTTGTACGCGCGTGAGCGAGCGAGCGGAGCGCGAGGAAGGCATCCGCGCGCAATACAAGCGTGTAACGCGCGTAATTAGGCGAGGGTATTTTCACGGACCGCTCCGGCGGCTGCCGAAGCGCGGGGAATGTCTATACGTCGCCTATCCGACGCGCCATCAGCCTCTGGCCCATTATTTACGATCGCGACGAGCGCAGCTGCGCCAGCGGGTATCTTCCACGGGGCGCGACAAACCGCTCGGCGTCGTATTGTCACGCGTAAAATTTCGAAACGCTCGCGAGCGAGCGAGCGAGCGAGCTGCAGCTCCTCTCACTCGACGCGTCTCGCGCAGTAAATTCCGCACGTCCGGTGAATACGTACGCGGGCAAATATCTCGCGCGGCACGTTCCGCCAAGAACGCGAGCCGCGCCCCGCGGATTCCGCCGTCTCGATATCGTAATGCAATTTAAAGTTTTAATGAAATCGCACGGAAATCGCACGCGTGTCCGCGAGAGCGCGGGACTCTGAAAAGCGCGCGCCTGTAATTACGCGCCCCCGACGAGAAGTCGCTCCCAGCGATAAACTCGTCATTTTACAAGCGAGCGTCGCGGAACGCTGCTGGTAGTCTCTCAGGGACGACACCGTCGTTGCCTCCCCCTCCCCCGATGACACCTCGTGGGGCCAAGAAGAAGGGAGAAAAATCATATCTGGTCGTAAAAGCGAGCGAGAATTCGAAATTGAGAATGCACACGGGAAGAAACGATTCCGCCGCCATGAAGAAGCAGCAAAATGGCTCTTTGGCTCATATCGAGGAAGCGCAAAGTTTTGAGAGCCTGAAGTTCCACCCTCCTTCGACGAGAAAGCGCGTGTCTGGCTCGTTTCTCGTCACCTTAATTCTCCGACGATATTTTTCCCCGGTACGATCGGTTTGATCGAGCAGGCGCGCTTTAATTGGCCGTCCGCTGACGTTAACGTCCGCGACGAACGACGCGAAGAAAGTCGAACGATCGAATTGGCGCGACAATGAGCGAGAATATTTCCGGCTCACAGGAGCGAGGTCGCGATTCGTAAGAAGCGGAAATTCCGTCTCCTCCGACGAGAGCGCCAGTCCGGCTCGTTCCCTCATTGTCACATTAATTCCACATTCCGGCCCTTTTTCCCTGCGCACACGCACATTCTTCCCCGGCGCGCATAATCCCCGAGTTACAAGCTCATCCCCGGCGATCGCGCGGCGAGAGAGAGAGAGAGAGAGAGAGAAAGAGAGAGAGAGAGAGAGAGAGAGCTTGAGCCGCGCGATGATAAAATTACGACCGCGTAATCACCGGCGGCGACGTCGCGCCGCGTCGCGTCGCAAATCATCCTTTACAAAAATCCCACTTACGAGGCGCGCTCGCGAGCGCGTGAGTGAGGGCTTAGCGCGGGATCCGTAATTTCAAATTAACGCGACGTTTATACGTGTTTAAAAGCGTTTGTGCGACCGCGAGCGCGGCGCAGCGTCGCGTCGCGATGCCTTGTTACGCCGCGCCGACGGCCGCGGCGCTTTTCGGACGATAATAATTCGGCTACAGCGAGCCGCAGCGTGGCGGAGAGCGGCAGATTCGTAATCCCGGGAAACCGGGTTCGAATCCCGCTAGGCCGAAAACAACTCCGCTCTCCGTCTAGTGATAAAAAAAAGGTAATTCCTCAATGGAAAACTGAGTTCCGTTTTTCGGAAGACATTAACCTTTTGAGGCATAGTGGTAAGTATACTTACCACCTATTTATTCTCACATTTTCATGAAATATCTCATATTTGAGGGATTCTTGCGGGGTTTTTTGCGTTTTCTAGCTTCTTATATGATATGGGAACATACATGAAAGGTTTTGCATGAGTTGTCCATTTATTTTAAATAAACAAAGTGTGAAAAATACACATTTTTACAGAAAAAAATCATTTTCCACGAACTATGAGTGACTATTTTGCTCAAAATCAAGATTTAGAGGTTTTTGGGTCGTTGATTACGAATCTGAGGTCCAAATTCTAAAATTTATTTTCCAAGATGGCGGATCATAAAATTTTTATATGATTAGCTGAAATTGTACTTTAGTTAGCTTTCAAGGTCGCTGATTACGAATCCGAGGTCCAAAACTCATTGTTCAAGATTGCAGATTCAAGTTGGCGGATCATGGAATTCTAATGTATTTACCTGACATTGTCTTCCGATTAATTAATTGTTCATTATCTTGAATTTGCCGCTATCTTGAATTTTGAAAATCTGATAACGGATTCGTAATCAGCGACTCCGAAAACCCCCGTATATAAATTTCCACGTGATTCGGAGTTTTTGAAAAATACGTGCCTCAAAGGGTTAAATAGTGGGTTCCCCGCTTATAGCCGACACCGCCATAAAGTACCTCAGTGCGAACTGATTTGTGTCAACCGCTCACTTTCACGCGGATCTATGCTAACTATCTGAGCAACCGACTTAGGGAATTTAAAAATGCTCAGTTCCAGTAACCGACCTCGGAATTAAAAAGCCGAGGAGTCTGGTTATTAAAGGAAGATTTCGACCTACGAAGAAAGTAGGAAGAAGAATTCGGTTGCAATTCATAATCGATGAAGAAGATATGATCTCATCGATGACGCTCGCGCGGTTGCTCGACGAGCAAATGAGAGAGAAAAGGGCAACCAAGGTAAAGCGACAAAGAGTAAGAGAGAAGAAAAAGAGAGAGAGAGCGGGTGAGGGCTAAAAAGTGAGAAAAGAGAGCGTACCCGCCACCCCACGTGCGGCCGACGGCCACATCGTGTTAATTCGCGGGCGGAACGTATTTACGAGCAGATCTCGTCCCGTAGCGGCCGTGTGCGTCGCATTCGGCGCACGTGTGGCGTTCGCTTTAGCACACACAATTCGAAACCGCGGCGTACACGAGGCCGTCGTGGTATCGCACTACATCGCTCGATCTCGGCGACAGCGGCGCGGAATTTCCGCTCGGCGCGGTCGCGGCGCGACTTACGCTGAAAAAAGGAAATATCGCGAGGACATGCAGGATTTCAAGAGGGTAATCTCAGCGTGGCGTACGCGCATGAGGACGCGCGCGTTCGTTCAACACCGGGAAGAGAACATGGCTGCGCGT